GGCTGAGGCCAGGTCACCTTCAGAAACAGACACAGAGATTTCTTCTAACGAAAAAGGGCAGCCATCCCTGGAAATGGCATCACTCTACCTTTTTCATAAGATCACTTTTGTACTTTTTCATGCTTTCAGTGGCATCTGTTAAAAGTTCATCATTTTAATCGCATCCAGTTTATCCCTTTTTCTTTATTTTTAGCACTTTTGTGTCCTGTGTAAGAATCCCTCCCAACCCCTAGTTTAAGAAGATATTCTCCAGGTTTCCTCTTACGGTGGTATATTTAACCTTTTACAATGATGTCTAAAATTCACCTGGAGCAACCTTTTTGTGTATAGTGGGAGTTACAGGTCAAGATTCTTTCCCCTCCCACTTGGACTCCTAGTTGTGTCAGTGCTGTGTCTCCAAATGCCACCTGCTCCTTCAGAGCTCTTTTCTTAGGTCAGGTTATTTCCTACGTGGATCTATTTCTGAGCTTGACTCTGTTACATTCTCTGTCTGTACATCATTTTAGCAGACCTTATTCAAAATGTCAAATGTTGCAAGTTAAAAGATGGATGTAGCTAGAAAAATAATTCTCATATAGTGCATTCCAGCTTCACTGTCTCTGGAGCAAGAGAATGGGGTGAAGGGCTGCACTATTAATTCCTATAACTTAGGTAATCGAAACTAACCTTTTTAAAGCACAGTAGACTTTTTAGCTCAAAACATTAAAAAATGTTCAAACTGAACACTATTTGAATCACCAGTGTTCACATATTTATCTATGTTGATCTATTTCTAACCATATATGTGAACTATTTAGAGCCATATTTTTCAAACTTTTTTTTTTTCCAATACCGGGGATCGAACTCACGACCTTGCGCTTGCCAGGCAGGTGCTATGCTGCTGAGCTAGACCTCCAGCCCCTTTTCAAACTTTTTGACTGTAACAAAATGGTTGCTACCCATTAACTGGTTTCAACTGAGTTTTAAAAGCAGATTTAGACCCTAAAATTCCAAAAACAAAAAACAAACAAAACCTATGACTATAAACGATATACTTAGCTATGAACTCCAGAACTATTTACTTTGTACATTTTTCTTAGCTGGAATAGGCTGAGTCAGAGTTATAAGCTGATGTTCATCATTTATTCTCATCAATTCAAGTACAATACAAAACAGTAACCAGCCAGGCACCATAGGACGTGCCTGTAATCTTGCCCTTGGGAGGCTGAAGCAGGGGTATCATCAAAAGTTTGAGGCCACTCTGGACACTGTCTCAAAAAAATGTAACCACAAACTTCTACAATTTTCCTATGTAGAATAGAGAGACCTAATAAACTCTGAGAATTCCAGGTGCTGCAAAGTTTTCTCCTGCAGAAAGGTGCATTTTATTGGTTTTTCACTTATCAGAAAATACATCTGAAGATAACAAAAAGTGGCTGACATGTGATTATAACATAAATTCCTTAAGGCCAAGATAATTCAAAACAGGATAGCATTGAGCTTCCAAAAGAAAGTCTTTCTGAAAAGTGGTGAATTTCAATTTGAGTTTTGAAAAGGATATAAACTTAGAATCTTGAGATGGGGTGGGGTAAATTTCACAAGAGTGATAGAAAGGAGTATATCTCCAAGCATAAATTACATTTTCTGGGCTTAAACTGGAATAAAATTGCAAAGCATACTCTGTGGTTTACTGGGTCCTAAATGCAAAATGATATCCTGGATTACATCCCGAAACAGATAAAAAGTGCATTAGAGGAAAAACAGATGAAATCCAAATAAAGTCTGGGGGTTGGTTAATAGTATTGTAGCACTGGTGGAGTCTTAAGTTTCAGTAAATGTACATTGGCTCTTTTGTAGTATCTTAAACTTAAGGGAAGCTGGGGGAAGGATACATGGAAAGTCATTTTTTAAACTCATCTGTAAATCCAAAAGTATATAAAAATTAAAAGACCTTGTCATCTGAAATTGATTCAAAAACTTGGGAGTAAAACATAAGAAAAGACATAAAATAGTTTAGAGCAAATTCAGAAAATCACTTCCTATAAGCCTAATTTTAACAGCTTCTTTAGCAGAAAGGCAAGGAGTGTTTGGAAAAAAAGGTATATGAATAATTGTCTTAGTGTTCTTAGGCTGCTATAGCAGAACAGATGGGTAACATGTAAGCAACAAAGATTTATTGTTCACAGTTCTGAAGGCTGGGCAGTCCAGGGTCAAGGGATCGGATGATCTGGTGTCTGGAGAGGGTCGCTCCCCACAGAGGACACTTTGTGCACATCTTTGCGCGGCACAAGGGCACACGCTCTTGAGCATCCTTTACGAGAGCACTGACCTGGTTCGTGAGTCACAGCCCCAGGACCTACCGCTTCCCACAGGTCACACTGCTGAGCACCGTCACACTGGGGAGCAGATTTCAACACATGGACTTGGGAGGAACACAGATATTCAGACACAGCAGTAAGAGAAAAAAAGAATCTTATTAAACTACACAAAAAATAACACTAACCAATCACTGCCAAAGTCTGAGGAGAATTTGACATCTAAGAAGTAGCTTTTAGGTCCTATATTTAAGCCTATGGCTAAATTCTGACAGAGAAAATGAAATATGACAATATTTGTGTGACTATAACTTTCATCTGAAAATCATGAAAACTTTTGCAAAGATACAACAATATGATGACACATTTCATTCATCTCAGCTTGAAGTACCAAGCATTTAGATTTTAAATAAAAATAAAGCCAGAGACAAATGTACTATCCTATGCCCTCTTAAAAAACCATACTCTACTAAGATATCAAATTACAAGTAGACTCACATATTAATTGCTGATTGGTCCCTTCCCCCATGGAAACTCTAAAATACAATAAAGCTAAGCATGGTGCCATATGCCTGTAATATCAGCACTCAGAAGGCCGAAGCAGAAGGATCACCCTGAGTTTTAGGCCAGCCTGCACCACATAGTGAATTTAAGGCCAGCCTGAACTACAGTCAGACCTTCTGAAATAATAATGATAATGATGACAGTAATAATACATTAAATACACTCTTTAAACAATTGATTGGGCTTGGAAAAGTTAACTTTACATTTAGATTTTGTGTCAAGAGAGTAAGACTGGGGTCTTAACTCTAGCATCAACTTATCCTTGTGTGGTTTTGAATAAGGCATTTATCATTACTGACTTTTCATTTCCTCATCCATAAAATGGATAATAACAATTCATAAGGTGACTATCAAGATTAAACAAATTTGAAAAGGGTATTATAAATTATAGCAAAATAATGTAAATTTTAAAAAAGTAAATTGGTTTTTAGCACATATAAATGATCAAAATACAGTTTTTGAAAACTGGCTGTACTAGCATTGGAAGTATTAGTAGGACTACAATTTCAGCACCTTCTCGACATAATCCAAAAAATACTTGTAATGCACTGTCCCTCGTGGTCAACTTCAAGAAACAGCCTATTTCCTGCTTTTATTTCACTGTGTAATTGATTTCCTAACTCAATTTTGGAGAAATTGAATCTCCCTTGAGATGAGATCAGATGACAACAGGTGCATTCATTCATTTTGGCTTACTTTTGGGGCGCTGTGGAAAGGAAAGCTAAGTCAAAATCGGAATAAAAAAATAATGCATGTATGAGGTGGAGTGGGAAAGAGAATTTCAGATTTCTAAAGGTGGTGTCTCACCAGACCACATTCTCACGGAGGGTGCAGATAAAATCAGTGATAGATGAGGGAGTCACAATCTAGTTTATTGTGTGCATTGTTACAAAGTTTACGGAGTGATAAGGGTGTGGTTTTGATGATTTGGGTTAAAAAGGGATCTTTTGCTTAAACTGTGTGAGTATGTGTGTCCACTTTAAAGGTTTGGAAAGAATATTCTGCTTAGAAGTTTTTGGTTCATTTAAGTCATATTTGTTATTGAAATCCAAATGTTGATATTTTTATCACCAACAAAAAAAGAAAGAATGAAAGAAACTAAAAGAAGCCAGAGAAATACAAGGTCTCAGAACATACGTGTGTCGTTTTCAAAAAGAGCACTACAAAGTGCTATGGAGACCAAAAGAGCAGCTGTTTTAAAAATATGTTCGCTTTTAGAGTTCTGCTGTGAACATTACGTTCAAACGTGAGGTTCTTTTTTTTTTTTTTTTTTTTTTTCGTCTTTTTGAGACAGGGTCTCCCTATGCAGTTCAGGCTGGCCTTGAACTCACAACAATCCTCCTGCCTCAGCCTCCCGAGTGCTGGGAGGACAGGCGTGCATCACCACGCCCGGCTCTAAAGGTGAGGTTCCGAAGGAAGCTTTAGCTAACTTCTAAGTGGAGGAGGAGTCATTACACTCGGTGGGGGAGACCGGCGAATAACAAACAGAAAACAGTTTACGTATTTTCTCTACTGGAAAGTATCTGCTATTTTTCAGTGTCATAATTGAAATGTACTCACAAACAAACGGTGAAAAACTGCCCTCTAGTACGTGAATCGTGAAAAGCTTCAGGCTGAAATTTAAGAGGTTCTTAAACATTGATTTGGCTTTTGTTTTAACAGTGCGGGTGTGTTTACACGAACGATTAAATTTCACTAGACCACAGCCAGCGGTGAGCACTGCCTGAGCGAGGTTTCGAAGTAAGTTGTGTCACTGTCCAGGACTGGAGCGCGCAGGTTAACGGGCGGGGGCGGCGGTAGGCGGGGGCGGCGGTAGGCGGGGGCGGTGCAGGGTACCCGACTGCGCGTGTTCGCACAGACTGGTATTTCAGTGGGTAGAAGCTGCCGCTTCCGCTCGGGTCCCACTCCTAGGTGGGTACGAGTTCACTGCGGCCGCGCGCCTGTACCGCCTGCTTCTCGCTCGGGACACGTGGGGCCTCGGGCTCAAGAATGCGGCCCCGCGGCAAGCGCGCCCCTACCCGCCCAGGGCACCGCGCACCCGGCGCCTAACCGTAACCCTAACCCTGGCCCCGCCCCTCTGGCCTCCGCCTAACCACGCCCTCCCCGGCCACGCCCTTCTCCGGCCCCGCCCCGCCCCCTCACCTGGAGGCCGCGCAGGCTCCCGCGTCGGGTTCGGAGCGGCGTCGGAGCGGCGGAGCCGGCGGGCACGCGGCCGCCCTGGCCCTCGGAAGGAGGACTTCGCGCCGCCGCCGGTAACCTTCGTTCCCGCTGGGCAGGGGGAGGCCGGCCCCCAGCCGTCGGGCTGCTCGGGCCCTTCTTTCGGGCTTCGGTGCGTCCGCTCCTTCCCGCGCGGTGCAGCGCCCGGGAGGAGGACACGAGACCTACAGGCGGCGCCCGTCGGCCCGCCTGGCGCTGCGGGAGGATGAGGCAGGAGAGTCGCACGTTCGAGCTCAGCCTTCTACCAAAAGTAGAACTAGAAAATGGGAAGAGGCGCGGGCGGGGAGGCGCCCCACGCCGAGGCTGAGCGCCGTCCCCAGGCCCGAGGGGAAGCGGGGAGCTTCATTTTCTGCCCGCAATCCGCCCCCACTGCCCTGACCCCCGCCTCTTCTTGGATTATTAAGTTATGTACTAAGCGCGCTTTCGCTTTCCTCTCTCCGAGGCCACGCTCCTGAGTGCTCTTTCTGCCCAAGCCAGAGCGCGCTTTCTTTGTGCGAGGCCTGTGATGGGTCCCGCTACAAATGGCGTCCGGGTCCCGGGTTCGCGTCCTTTGTCCCCTGCGCCGCCATGTTGGCCGGGAGGATGGCGGCCCCCGCGTCCGCCATGCTTGGCCCCGCGCTGCAGCTTGGGCCTGTGCTCTTGTCCCAAGCGAGCGTGACTCCTCTGGGTTTCAGTCTGACGTCCCCAGACAGGTGTGATGAGGAGTCTCGTGCAAAGATGTGTTTCCCGGCCTGAAACTATTTGGTTTACCACTGAGTATCTTCCCCTTTCCCACGGAAGCGAAGCCCGGCGGCACCTATGAACTGTGTGCTTTTCCCCACGCTGAGTTCACCGTAGAAAACCTTGTTGGGTGCCAAGTATTGGTGGGATGATTTAATACCTAAATGCGTCCGTGACGGTATTTCTGTGGCAGTTTGAGAGGCATAAAATTAGGTTAGTCCCCAGTGCTTTTTTGGGTATGTAGGGGAGTGGGGTCCTGGGTACTAAGGAATCGACACAGAGCAACTTTCCTAACATCCTCGGGCCTTTTTTATTTTTGGAGATGACGCTGGGTTCCATTTAAGATCCTCCTGCCTCAGTCTCCCAGAGTGCTGAAAACACAGGCATGTGCGCAACACACAGCCATTTATTTATTTAATGTTCAGGTTTTGCCTTCGTTGCATGTAACTGTAACTTCTTGTAGATATTTCCATTAACAGAGAATGCTGGTCGTATGAATTACTTTCTAATAATAAATTGATAAATTTCCATTTCCGTTTCCTTTGTAATTCTCATAAGCTTGTATATTGTTAAAAAAAAAAAAGAATCCTAGAAAAGTAAGGTCTATACGTGGACCTTAGTAAATTAAAAAAATTCCTGTCTCCCCACCTCTGATCTCTATGAGATATCTTCCTAGATACCACCATGCAACTTTTTGAAGTTTCTATATTAAATGTGTCTAAAATTATGAATAGATTCCTAATAAACGATTGTTACGTGATTGCTAAATCAGAAAACACTGGCACAATAACTAACATACATGTTTCGACTTATTTCATTAGACAGATGTGCTAACTGCTGGGACATATGGTGAACAAGACAGGCCTAACAGGTAAGACACCTTAAATAAATGATACCAACAGCTCTAATGGTATAAAATAGGGAGCAAGGGTTGGCTCAAGGACTTGGTGGGATTCCTATAACCCCAGCACTCTGGGAGGCTGTGGCAGGAGGATCACAAGCTAAAGCCCAACTTGGGCAATTCAGCAAGACACTGTCTCAAACAAAGGGCTGAGATGTAGCTCAGTGTGAAGATGCTGGGTTTAATCCCTAGTGCATAAAATAAGAACAAAGAAATAAAAAAAATAAAATAAGAACGAAGAAAGCCCTGAGAACAGTGTGTGTGTGTACACTTATAGGGGCAGTAAGGATGGGTCGGTAGTGTTTCAGAAACAGAACATGTACAGTGGGCTCATGTGATGCTTTATTAGAGGGAGAGTTTACCATGGCTGAGTAGGAGAGGTCGAGATGGTGACAGATAAGCTAGGGGAAAAAAAGAAAATCAAACTGCAGTTTTAAATAGACTAATTGAAGGAAAGAGGCTTTTGTGTTTGATCCTAGTAATTATGCTCCCAAGGCACTAAGATTTGGTTTGTCAAATATTCCTGCATAGTTTCCCAGGATTATTTCACTTTTTTAAAGGACACAATAAATTATAACATCTTAATCGGTTTTTTCCATCAGAAGGTTTTAAAGAAAAATTATAAACTCTTCCCTTAGCTGAAACATGTTTTGTTTCTATTCTGTGTTTATTTATTGCCCAAAGTGAATGGTGTGATTCTTTTGAGATGCTCATTTTTAATGTGGCTATTTAAAAGTATTTTCAGTCCGTTAATGTTCACCCCACCGATTTCACATTTGGCCTTATTTAAAAAGCATTTAATTTTTGTTCCTGAAGCAGGACATCAGAACAATAAATAAAGAGATCTTTTATCAGGCACACAATTATGAGCAAAAAGGCTCTTAGAAAAACAGCTTTCACAAAAAGAAAAAAGAAAAACAGCATTCATGGTATGACTTTGAAATGGTCTTGCTTTTATTTTCCTACAGTACCAGGGATTGTACCTGGGACCTTCACACTGAGCTATGGCGCTGGCGCTTTTCTTTCCTTTTTTTTTCCCGATACCGGGAATTGAACTCACGACCTTGCGTTCGCCAGGCAGGCACTGTGCTGCTGAGCTAAATCCCAAGTCCCTTTTTCTTTCATTTTTAATTTGGAGACAGCTTGTCGCTAAGCTGCCCAGCCTGGACTCGTGTTGCAGTCCTCCGCCGCAGCCTCTACCTTTTACATTTTAAGGAGATGGTGGAGAACTTCAGGGCCAAATTGCCCTGGCCGTTTATTGAGTGCGGTGGGTTTTATGTGTCTTACTCACTGTATTACTGCCTCTTAGAACAGTGGGCAGCCGAACCACAGCCAGTGGGTGAAATCCAGTCAGTCCACATTTTATTGCAGCACAGCCAGCCTCATTCGTGCATGTACTGCAGCTACAGCACTCGGTGGCTCCACAGAGATCAGAGGACACCAGAGCTTTACTCTGGCCCCCTACAGAGACAAAGGGTCATTCCCTGCCTAGTAATGTAGCAGGAGCCAATACACATTTGTAGAATGAATTAAAATAATAAAGCAACACCATTTTGTGTAAGTTGTTAGATTTGCTACATCCAGTGCAAGCAGAAATATTTTAACTTCTTCACCTACTTCATGTTTTTTAATCAGATGCCACTGGCTGCCTCCATAAAGGTTTGCCTGACAAGTCCCTGTGCTTCCTCTACAGCCCTTGCCTTCTAGGGTTGACACATAACTTACGTATCTTACATGCTCTGGAGTCAAGAGCATAACTTTTCTTGCAGGGTGTGGCCTCCAGTAGGGCCAGTACCATAGCAGTGCCCAGTCAGTATGAGGTGAGGAGGTACATCAGGTAACTCACGTGTATACCAAAGTAACACGTCGACTGACCCTTGTCTTACTCCAGAGTTTCCTTGGGGAGGTGGTCAGAGAATATGTGAATGTAGCCGTTCTGTTATTGGAAAGTGTCTTCCAAAGCATTTCTGAGGTCAACCTCCAACAATGGCTCTAATAGGGTTATTACCGTAAAGCAGGTGTGTGTTGAAGACAACTTACCTGAGATCATGTCTGCCTACAAGCGGCTGCTCTCTTCTGGTGAGAACCTTCAGGAAGGCAGCGGGCAGAAGAGAAGGGCCGGGACCTGTGGCCGGAAAGGCCGGGGTGGACAAGCCGTCCATGTAACAAAACCAGAACAGCGCCAGGTGAGCCCAGTCCCCACCACAAAAGTGGAACCAGTCCCTGTCACCTGGCCACCGTGTGGTGAAGGCTCCGGCCCCGAACCTCATCCTCAAGCCAGTGGAGAGGAGGACCCTGATTGCTACATAGAATGCATAATAACAAGTCAATTTTCTGAACCCAGCCTGGAAGATTTTCTTCCTAGGTCCTTGGAAAGCATAAGCAAATACTCAGAAGAAGGTCTTTCTCAACAAGTTTATGCAGCCAGCTCCCTTATCGAATGCTCTTTGGAGTACATGAAAAATGGAGCAAGGCAAAAGCCCACAGCATCGAGGGCTGAAGAGGATCCTGGCCTTGGGTGCTCTGAGCATGTGGCAGGCAAGAAGCTTCCCGCTGCAGGGGCGCCTGGCCTTGCTTGCCCTCACAGTGGCTGCGCACGGAGGCTGAAGGATAAGACCGCCCTGCGGAAGCACCTGCTGGTGCACGCGCCCCGGGCGCACGTGTGCGCAGAGTGCGGCCGCGCCTTCTCCGAGAGCTCCAAGCTGGCCCGGCACTTCCTGACGCACACGGGTGAGAAGCCCTTCCGGTGCACCTTCGCGGGCTGTGGGAAGCGCTTCTCCCTGGCCTTCAACCTCCGCACGCACGTGCGCATCCACACCGGGGAGAAGCGCTTCGCCTGTCCCTTCCCTGGCTGCGGGAAGAGGTTTGTTCAGTCCAACAACCTCAAAGCTCACCTCGGAACTCACGCGAAGGTGAAGCAGGCTCTCTGAGAAAGAACAGGACAGGGTTGTCCGACAGGATGAGCATTCGCAGTGATTGCAGAGAAACACTGCGGCCGTGTAAGGCAGATTCTTTGTTTTAGTTAGCTGCTCTATACTTTGTGATACCGTTTGAAGAGCATTGAGTACTCTGCTGTGTACTTGCAGCAGAAGTCCAGGGTAATCTATTCCCAAAACATAATGAACTTGTGCATGCTGTCTGCATGAAAACGATTTTGAAGTTTATAATTGTGACTTTTACCTTTTAAAAATGTACTTTTTGAAATAGGTGATTATCTCAGAATGAGTATTTTGCAGTAGATGGTCAATCAATGAATAGTTTAAATAATTTTGATGATCTTGATCATTGTATCAAATTATATTGAAATCGGGGCTGGGGATTTAGCTCAGCGGCAAAGCGCCTGCCTGGCAAGCGTAAGGTCGTGAGTTCGGTTCCCGGTGCCGGAGAAAAACCAAAAAAAATAAATAAATAAATAAAAGAAAAAACAAATTATATTGAAATCGTACAGTTACGAGTGGTTGATACTGATAATTTGAATTTATCCTAGAATTTCAAAATAAAAGGACATAAAACAAAAAAGGTATGCTAAACTTGGATTCAGAATCAAATTATGCATTTAAAAGATACATTCCTTTTTTTAAAAATTGTTCTTAAAAATTAGCAAAACATTGCAAAGACTGGTAGTGTTGAAGAAACATGGACAGAAAGTTAATTTATTATACATGGTGGCTTAAAATACCCATTGTTACAGCCATTTTGGAAGGTACTTTGCAAATGTGCCCTATTAGTTTTCCTACAGCTGCCATGGGGTGACACAAACTGAGTGGGTTAAACAGTGGAAAATTATGATTATTATCATCTGATAGTCCAGAGGTGCTTTGGGCAAAAACAAGGGGTTGGCAGGACTGGCTTCTTCTGAGGACCAAATCTGGAAAGGATTTGTCCCAGACCTGCCTCCTTTCCTTCTAAGTGTGACATACCATTCTTCATGTTTTCATGTCTCGTCCCTCTTGGCCTGTTTGTGTTCAGATTTCCTCTAACAAGAACAGTACTTACTGGGCTGAAACCCTCCTAATGACCTCATTTTAACTTGATTACCTCTTTAAAGACCCTTTTGCTAAGGTCACTGAGATCCTATGAGCTAGGATTTGAACGTATGAATTTGGAGGGGGCAGACAGGTGCATGAGTATAGTATTGTAGATTCAGTTTTTTTCTAGAAATACTTGAACTGTATAAGAAACTATTTTTTCCAATATATTAAGTGAGTCATATTTTGATAGTAATAAATTCATGACCATGATGTCTCCTAAGAAACAGTTTATATCAGTCAGGCTAGAGGTATTAAGTAGAAAATACACACGGTTTTGTTGGCTACAAAAGGTAGGCAAGAAAGAACCACACCTAGAGGGAAACCACAGAAGAAAAAGAAGCTTGTTTTTCACAGACAGTATCTGGCAAAAATTGGGCATACATTTTGCTGTGGAAGAAAATTTGAAGTGTTAAATACGCATGCGTGAGGGGAACCACAGGTGGCTGGTAAAAATACAATCCAAACCTGTTGTAAGGATTTTAACTTACTGTGTGTGATTATGTGCCTTAAAATTACCTTATCCTGGGTGTTAAATACACAAGCCATCAAATTTTTGATGCATTTTCTACTCAATTGATATTATAAATGATAACTATGGAATAGTTAAAATACCATAAAATCAAGAATAGTTAACATCTAGTTTTAAGAGTTAAAATTCCCTAGAAGTTCTGCTAATATATCGGGTATGGCATTTCTATAGGAATGAGTGTCTTGGGTCGCAGAGGAAAATTGAGCACATAATTCATTTGAAAATTGCAGTTTTCTCTAAATCAAACTCCAGAACATAGAATTTAAGATTGGAATTTGATCAAGATGATGGAGCACAGGTTTGTCTAGTTTTTGCTTTGGCAGTGTGTGGGATTTGGTCCTCTATGGATTTTGACTTCAGAGTTGAACTAGGACATCACACCTCTGGACACTAAATAGAAGAAGCAGGTTTTGGGCTGCAAGCTGTCATGAACTAAGAGGAAAGGAGATTGGTTGCCCCGATCAAGTTTACAAATTACTCTTTCTGGAACTGAAGTGTCCAAAACCTACTGTATAATAATCAATTGTATCTGAATTTTTTTATTTTAAAGAATAAAAAAGAACAATAAAAATGATACAAGATTTCAAAACAAAATGATAGAAATGAACAGTGGTTGTTATATTAATATTGTTATCTTCAATGAAGTTGCTCAGAGAACCAAAAGTAAGAATGCAAGATTGACCAAAGAATGAAAAGTAATTTAAAAATACATAGAAACGATACAGAGCTTTGCTAAACAAGGTAAATGGATGCAACTAGAGGCCATCATAAGTGAAATAAATCAGGCCTGCATATGTAAGCATCATATTGCCTCTCTAGTGTAAGAACCTGAAAGAGTAAATAAAATCCAAAAGATACAGTAGATATTGTGAGAGGGAAAACTGCTGAAAGGGAAGGAACAGCTGGGATGAGGGAAAGGAGAAAAGAAAGAAGGAAAAAATTATATGTGTGTATATACAAGGATAGCTGTGATAACTGTACTGCTGATGGCTAATGGTTTATTGAAATGAACAGTTCAAGGTTAAATTGTTTTCTCAAGCAATTTTATACTCATATCTGGTGATCTGAACAATTAATCTGAAGAAAACAATGTGCAGTATAACAATTGTTGAATTCCTACTATCTTGTATATCTGAATTTTGAGACAGTTAAATCCTGACTTGGGAATAGGATGCAGTTACTTAGCGAGCCTCCTAGGTGTTTATTTTTTCTTTTCTAGAGAGGAAACCTAACACTGATAAGACTATAAAAGGAAGAAGGCAACTGGAAGCATTGGGGAAAAAAATCCCACCGCACATCTTCTTACATTAGTATTTTAAATAAAGATGAACGAGAGATGTGAGAACACATATCCAGGGAAAATTTAGCTGGGAAGTCAATCCGTCTGGATTTTCACATGTTTCCGGACGTGGGCATCTAACAACACTAAATATAGATGAATGAATCTGTCTGTTTTCATGTTGGCATTTGACTTTATTTCCAACTTTTCTTTTATAATGACCAATATTAATAGTGGGAAATTAAAACTAGAAAAATGTTTTCTATAAAAATCTGAATGGTATTTTAGACATATATATATATTACGTTGTTTTGATAAAGTGAAAGGGTTACTATTATGAAGAAAATTAGTCTGTGCATCACCCTGCTGTTCTTATGGCAAGAGTGCCTCGGGGTGTGGTGGTGCACAGCCCTGGTCCCCGCACTTAGGAGGCTGAGGCAGGGGAAGCACTGCTAGAGGCCATCCTGGGCTACATAGTGTGTTCAAGCCCCGCCTGAACTACATAGTGAGCTTTTGTCTCAAAAACGGAGTGCCTCGCATCTACTCTCAACAGACTTTCAGTGTATAATACTGTTAGCCTTACGAACTAGTTTCTACTTCTCTATCTCCCCATCCCTGGTCACTATGTTTATATTCTGTTTTTATATATTCAACGGTTTGTTTCTTTGAACGTACAAGTGAGATCATATAGTATTTTTCTTTGCATGCCTGGCTTAATTTGTCTTAGCATAATACTCCTCAAGTTCATGTGTATTGTTGGGAATGGCACTATCTTTTTCTTTAAGGATAAAGAATAGTCTTATTGTATATATGCATAAATTCATGAATTATCTATTCATCTGCTGATGTACAGGTTGTTTCTATATTTTGGTTATTTGAATAATGCATCAATAAACGTGGACATGCAGATAATTGTCATGAGGCTGCAGATAATCATCATGAGGCAATGACTTCATTTGGTTAAACAGTTATTTGTGCAATAGCTGGTCATACCGTGTGCTAGCCCTTATTTTTTGAGGTACCTCCATGGTATCTTTCACAATGACTGTTTTAGTGTACATTTTGTAGGGTGTGTGAGTTCTTATATTGAGCTTCTCTTATCATACATGGTTTACAAATATTTCTTCCAGTTCACAAGCTGCCTTTTGATTTTCTTGGCTTTTTTTCTTTATTGTGCAAAAGGTTTTTAGTTTGATGTAGTACTGTCTTTATTCTTTGCTTTTAGGCCTGAGCTTTTGGTGTGAGATCAAAAAACAAACAAACAAACACATTGCTGAGACAAGTGTCAAAGAGCCTTTCCTCTGTGCTTTTCTTCTAGGATTTTTACTGTTTTGGGTCTTCAGGGTTAGAGTTTATTTTCACGTAAGTTGTAAGATAACAATGCAGTTGCCTTCTCTTGCAGATGACTATCCAGTTTTTCTGCCCGTTCTTGACAAGATTGTCATCTGCCAGTATGTCTTGGTGGCTTTGTTCAGAAGTTGGCAAATGTGCTTGGGTTTATTTCTGGGCTGTCTGCCCTGTTTCATTGGTCTATGTGTCTGCTTTTATGCTAGTACTATGTTATTTTGATTATTGTAGTATTAGAATTTGAAATCAAGGAATATGATACTCTAGGTTTTTCTTTCTCATTTAGCTATTCAGGGTTCAGTAGTTCCATACAGATTTTAGAATTTTTTTGCCTATTTCTGTGAAAAGTGATACTGGGATCGCTTTGAGTACTATGGATGTTTTAGCTGAACTCTTCCAACCTATGAAGATGGGCTTTCTTACCATTTGTTTGTGTCATTTTCAGTTTCATTGACGTTTAATGTATAGTTTTCAATGTATAAATCTTTCACTGTGCTGGTTAAACTTACTCTGAAGTATTTTATTCTTTTTTAATGCTATCAGAAATAAGATTTTTGCTTCTTTTTTCAGATAGGCTATCACTAGTATAAACAAATACAACTGATTAAAAAACTGAAAATCTTAAGCCGGAGACCATTTCTGTCTTGTTAACACTAATACATTAGCCATAATTAGGATTTAATAAACTACGGAATGAATAAATGTATAAAATATTGTTAATATTTTTAAAATAATAAAGGTATCAAAATTAAATTGTACATAATTCAAAAATGGATAATAAAGTACTATGAGTGTTTATATAAAATCTGATCGTTCTGCCCAGTGTGGTGGCGCATGCCTGTAATCCCAGCACTTGGGAGGCTGACGCATGTGGATTGCTGTTAGTTCAAGGCCAGCCTGGACTTCCTAGTGAGTTCAAGCCCCGCTTAGAGTACAAATTGAGACCCTGTCTCAAAAAAACAAGCAACAATATCTGATTGCTCTAAAATAAAGGTGAGCAACTTTGTAGGGTAAGACACGCTCAGTGAAAGAAACAATACAGATATTTGTGTTTGTGCATCTATATGTTGTACTTACACATATCCATTATTCTACAAAGGTAATCACCACTCTTGAAGAAAAGAAGATTTTATTGCAACAGGGTCTCACTACTTAGTTCAGGCTGTCCTTGAACTCTCAGCAATCTTATTGCCTCAGCTTCCTATGCCTGGGATTACAGCCATGCACCATCACACCTGGCTTATAGAGATTTTAAAATGGTTGTATTTGATCATCTTTATTGTGAAAATACTCTCATTATCTTTATTTTTCTGTATATCTGTAAAAGATTG